TTCTTCTGCCTCCCCCCCCCCCCCGCTTTTCTCCCTCATCTATCCTCTGTAAACAACCAACAACCACATCTCTCATTATCAAAGATGAATATGAAGGCAAAGTCCTGACATAGTTTATATTATGAAATAAAAAGTGCCACAAATCCTGTCTTTCAAAAGTTAGGACGTGCCAGAGGATGCAGTTCAATAGCAGGCTCTTGGCTAGAGCTCGCCACACACACAGAGAGGAGCAGGGCGTACATTCTCCTGCCTCCAGAGCTGACCATGCTTTATTTCACTGAATGCCATTGCGGTGCTTTGTCATCTGCCGATGTACCTAGGGTGATTTCTGATGCTTACGCCACGTGCTTAGGCAGTGGGAATAATACCCTGCTCTTGAGAGCTGTGCAAGCAAGAGACTTGGGGCCGGTCTGGAATTAGATCTCCTGTATTTCTGCTTTCAGTTTTGACATCAGTTTGCTGGCTGGCACCAAACTAGTCAGTAAATTCAGAGGCAATACCAGGGACTGAAGCCCTAAAACTGATGATTTCCTACCAGCTGAGATTTTTATTTCAAGAAATGTTGCTTTGCTTGGATGGTATAATTTTTCCTGATTTTATAAAGTTTAAAAGAGGGCCAGTATCCTGACTGTAAATCTGTTGTCCCTGTTTGTAATTTCACTGGGCATTAAAACCCACCATGCCGGATTTTGGCCCTGAACGTGGGCATTTATTTTGCCATCAATGGTTATTGTTACTTTCTTCAATGTCATCATCATCAGGTTACAAAGAAAACACGTTACAAAACGTGCACAGCCCTCTGGTCTCCCTGAGCAGTCAGGAAGTGAGAAAAAGCTGCTGACCCTGCCAGTTTGCTTTGGTAGAGGTGTAATTTGTAGCTGTTTGTGATATACGAGGACAGTATCTAACCTTTTTCTGTCCTAAAACAGACAGCAGAAAATATCAGGAAACAGTTAGGTGACTTGACTTGGTCAAAGAACGGAAGCGTTGTTTGGTTTGGCGCTGAAGAGGGGCTTATAAAGCTGAACATTATCCTCAACTTGATAGGGATTAGCTGTATGTTAGTGCAGTAACCATGTAAGAAGTGAAATGTGGCTGATCATTTGTCTTTGATAGCTTCATTTGTGTTCGGCCCCCTAAGCCATTTCTCAGGGAGTGGGAGAACTCCTGATACTCCAACTCTCTGCATGACTTGTCATTTAAATGACAAAAATCACTTCCCTCAAAAGCCTACTTTTCCATCAGGAAAATCAGATTAAATCCAGGGCTGAGGGTGTTTTGGTGAGTGGTTTAATGTCCAATATGTTGCATGACTCTAGATGTAAAAGTAAATGCACTGGAAAAGAGAATTTCCCAACTTTTTAAGGTCACCGTCTTTTCTGAAAGGCCCAAGGCTTCAACAGACCCTTTTTATATAGAGAAAATACTTCAAAGACCTCTTTATGACCTGTTGCATGAGGTTCAGGGTAGCTAAGACTGTGGCCTGTGTGAAGCTAGGAAGATTTCATGGTTACTTAAGCAGTTCATGACTGTCCCAGCTGTGAGCAGTATTCTCAGAGCATCATAGGACTCTTGGCTGGAGGGGACGTCCAGAGGCTGACTAGATCCCACCTGGCCCTAAGGATGGGTCTTTAGCACCCAGTCTAGGTCTGGTCAGCTGTGCCTTGGAAATCTCCAAGGATGGGAAATCCACCTTCTTCCTGGGTAACCCGCATCAGTGCTGCCCTCCTAAATGAGGCAGCGTTGTATTACTGTTTTATACCTCTTACAGATCTATTTCTAGCTGTAAGTATACTATGAGGTCGCTGCTTGTGCCTTGTCAGTGGAATACCACAGCAAAAACAGGAGTCCAGCTTCTTGGCTGTGCACAAATAATACAGTGTCCTCTGCAAAGTTATAGGATTTTATTCTTCAGGCATGCACATAATGAGAATTCTGAGAATTTGTAAGTGAATTAGACCCAAACCAGCTAAAGTGGAGCCACTGAGAATTTTATGCAAGATAATTTAGCACAACAATGGTATATCTATCTTGGTTGCTAAGTAAAAATATGCTATAAACTTTTAAAGTGATTCTATGGGCAGTATGTTAATGAATTTTGTAGCACTAAGTGTGTTGTAATTTGGAAGAAGAAATTTTGAGTTATACAGAAACCAACAAATAATACTGTCTTCTTCAATGTGGCTATCTCCAGTTCTCTGATGGCTAAAGTCAGAGCACTCTTGAGAAAATAATAAATAAAATAGACCTTTTACAAAATGGCAACACTCTTAGTTGAAATGATGGTCCAAAGTAATCTTTCTCTAAGCCTCGCTTCCATTCGTGGACATTTCTTTGGCGTAAGTTCAGAGGTGTAGCTGCTGTTTAGGTAGATAGAGGCATTTACTTCTGATCACATTAGTGTTTCAGCTGAATTATGAGATTTAAGGCGTTCAGTGCTTACCCAACATCACTACAGTTTTGTTAATTAATACTGTTTGCAACAGATACAGGTGTATGTCAGACTGGAAACACAGACTTGTTCAAAATGAATTCTAGTTATGCTTTTATTTTAATATTTTAAAGCTCCCATAAAATCTGATCAGAATTTGTCGGATTTCAGAACTTAAAATAGTGCTAGGAAAAATTTGATGATGACTTGTCCTTTCAGATTTTTTCTGATGAAGTATCTTGCTTCTGTCTTCTAGGACCTGCGCAAACAGGTAGCTCCATTACTGAAGAGTTTCCAGGGAGAGGTAAGAGCTTACGCTTCTCATGGTGCTTTCAATACTGCTTCACCTGAGTCTGGTGTGCTGGCAGTCTTTCAGCGTGGCCGGGTGGGTACGGAGCCCTTGAGCAGAGAGCATTGCTGGGGTTTAGCCCTTCTGCATTTTGCGGTGTGCCAGGATATGTGTGTGGTACGCTGGCTTTGTGCTGGACAAGCGAAACTGGTCAAATCACTTTGCATTCAGCATACCTGAGCATAAGCTTACCGTTGCAGTGACTCAGGTGGCACATGCTAACTCGCTATGCCTCAGTGACTTGATGGTTTGAACACTTAATGAATGCAATGTAATGTACGTATACGAATATATGAAGATACTACAAATAGTTTTCACTGTAAATCTTTTCAGCTGTAAAACATTGTATTCTAGAGGGCTTGATGGAAAACCTTAAGTTGGCAGGTGTTCGTTGGAAAACCAACAGAAAGCGTTAACAGCTCTGATGCTGGCTCTTACTTTGATTTCTCTTCACACCACTCCACTAAGAAACACATGATTAGAGTGATCACAACTTTAAAAGCCAACTGTTGTTATTTTGAAGAATTTCTATAGCAAAAGGCAGCTGGGCCAATTACAGAATTTTACATTTTAGCGGTGGACAGCACTGAAGCGCTCACTTCACGTGAGTGCTTAGGCCAGATGGGAGCTGTTGTACTGCCTCTAGGAAAATGCCGTGTATGAAGTTTGCAAATTATATTTCTCCTCATAAAGATCAGTGCCTGCATGAGGCGGTAGATTTAGGTTTTAGCTCACACTCTGTTACAAGTTGTAGAGCTCTGCTCTTAAAGTTAGCTGTGTTAAAGCAGCAACACTTTTTACTTTCTCCATCTATAAGTTGTTGGCTGATTTTATACTGTTGCAGTTCCCATCAGAGCACAGAGAAATTCAAGAATGTGTTTTCAGAAGTCTGCATACGGAATTAGGTGCACAACTCCCATTGTCTGTAATGAGGGTTGCATTTCTGATGACTTGCACGTCCTGCTAAGTATGTACCCCAAATAGGCAATATTCCTCATGTTTAAAGCAGTATGATATTTTTTATTTTACAGCTCAATTTCCCAAGTATTGCTAGAAATAAATAAATAAACAGGACAACTTTGTCCTTGATATATCTAATAGTAATTTGCGAGAACAAAGAATGACTTGTGTGAGTCTGTTTGCCAATGGAAATTTACACTTTAAAATTGCTCCGAGTGGATTGCAGTGCTCTTAAAACCTTTTCACTTTAGTTTCAATGCACTGACTGAAAAGTGTATGTGTGCTTTCAGCACTGTCCTTTAATGAAGGAAATGTCTGAGGATCATGTAAGAATCATAAATGCAAATCTGGCTACGGTGAAGGAAGATTCTCTCATTAGATCCTGCCTGTTGGAAACAGCTCACACACGCTCCTCTTCTGTAGTTTTGCTTCACTAATGTAAAAGTGAAGTTTATGTTGGTATAAATTCAACCTCACAAATTACAAGAGAAAAATTTGTTGATAGAAATCCCCTCTTACGTAAATAAAGCACAAATACGTTACAAGATTGTGCTGCTGAATGTCTTAGCCGGTGATTCCAGTCTCCCTAATCTAGACAGGGTTTTAGAAGCCTAAAAAACCCTGAACTAATCATGATTGGCTACATAAATACAGAACATTAAACTGTGAATTGTGATATTTGATTATAGATGTAATTACTGTATCTTGTTTGGGAGACAAATCAAAATACCAAGAATATTAGCCTGTTGTGTTGAGTTATATTTTATTGTTCAGTATATAGATTTGGTCTCTGTTTATTGTTAAGGCTGACTTTATGAAAGATCATGAGATGAATGCTCCAGGTGGCTCAAGAACAAACTATGTTAGGCATATAGGCTTTTCTCCATTTCAAATCCACTGGAGTTGCCTCTCCTACTCTCCCCCGAGGTGGCTCAGCAAGCAGTATAGCTGGGGGCAGGACACCCACCCCACGAGCTCCATAGGATTGCTTTGCGCTAGCGTGCGTGTTACCTGCTAGGTGATATCTAATGTCCTGGGAGGCGGTGGCAGAGGGACCTTTTGGTCACACAGTACAAGTGCTTTGGGACATGAGCAGGGATGTGGAAGGAGGAATAGGGAGTGATCTGCTCTTAAGATGTTCCCTGCTTCTACTACAGAGACTTGTTTTCAGCCCCAGACTAGGATATTTTTTAAAAAAACAACAGGAGTAAGTAAATAGAGGTAAGCAGAGACGTAGTGAAAATAGATGTTTTCTAGAGTCCCTTCTGCTGAAGAGAGAGTGTCCTCAAGCAGCAGGTAGGGAATGCCATAGGAGTGCTCTGGTTCACACCTCTGTAGGCATTGTGGCTGGTATTACTGAACTTTGGAGCACCACCTTCTCACCGGTTTCTCGTACGGAAGCTAGGAAAAAAAGATTCTTGCACGATGCATCTTCTCTGTTTACTGTCTCCACCACATTTTTGCCTCTGACTTCTATCTCCACCCCTACTGCTATTGCCCTATCCTTTTCTTGATCCCTAGTGACAGAACTAAGGAGGTGCTTTTTGCATGTCCAAGTAGTACTAAATTACGATTCTGCCTCAGAAGGGAAGAGGGCTTTTGCAAATGCCACGTGGGATGACTGTGCTCCACAGGCCTCTGGGTGCTAGGGAGGGCCAGAAGATCAGAAGGGACAGACAGCTCCCTAACGAGCAAAGATATTTAAGTAGCTTTACATGGATATTGCTGTGTTCCTGCCTGCCTCAGAATTGGCTCCCCACCTCCTGCCTTGCCTCAGCACTTTTGCTAGTGTGATCCCACGGTGAGCACAAAGTTTTCTTTTTTCCCCTTTTTTGCTAGCTTAGTTTTCTGCCAGGTTGGTTCACTGAAGCAGCTCACTGCAGGCGCCTGCTGGGCAGGGGAGAGGCCGGGAGAGCAAAGCCAAGGGCAGGAGGAGTGCAAATGTGCCAGCTGAGGCTGACTTAAACTGTCCTTGAACTGTACCCTCGGTGAGCCTGACGTGACTTGGAGAGAGGTTAACTTAAGCTCACATATTTAAATATCCTCCCAAGCATGCTTTATGGGACATCTACTTGTAAACCTGTGGCTAATTGACTTTTTTAAGTAAATCCACAGGTCGCTTTAGCCAATTTTTCATTTCAGTTTCAGCATGGATATTGATACTCCCCCCCTCATATTTTCCTTTTGTATAATATGAATTTATAAATTACTTCCCCCCCGAACCAGAACATTCTGTATTCCGTATATATTTATCTCGTTCATTCAGATGAAAACCGTTCCAGTTATCAAATATGCAGTTTCCATTAGTTATAAATAACTTTTTTTGTATAGATCTTGGTGCTCTAAGTAACTGGATTTTTTATGATGATAGTTAACGTAAAAGCATTATGAAATGGAATTTAGCATACTACAAATTTTAAAATGCATTCCTAGTTCAATGTGAGACTCTATTAATGCATCACTGAAGAATAATTTTATTATAATACTTTTTCCTTATTTAGGATTTCAATGGAAATTTGAATGCAGAGTTTTTTTAAATTAACAGAATGTAGTGTCTGATTCTAAGCTGATGGTATCGTCCTTTTGATTTTTGTGGGTAACTTTTCTAGCTTTCCTGGAAGATTTAAGGTCTGGATGGTATAAATAGGCTATTGTGAGTAAGACAGTTAGAAGTCATTAATTTAAGAGGTGTAAAATTCCTGTTGTTTCTATTTGAAATCTTTGGGGGGGAGCAGGGGAATAATAATAATTAATAATAATAATAATAATAATAATAATAATAATAATAATAATAATAATAATAATAATAGTAATAATGCTGGCCTTAATACAGGACAGAATCAGAAAAGGCTAAAGAACGTTATCATTCAATCATAAAATGATTTTATATCATTTGCAAGTTGGCAAGGCACTCCTTCAAGCAGCCATCTAAATAAGCTGTGTTCTGTGTAGGTCATTGTGTGTTACCATGTTTACATCAGTGGATGGATATTTGTACATGAGATCTTTAAAAAAAAAAAAAAAGTTATGTTCTTGGGCTATGTTAATTTACAGAACTAAAGTTGTGGTATGGAAATCTATGTTGGAATCTGTATTTGTGAAGTCATCAAATAGATATTTTAAGGCTGGGAAAGGATTTCCTGAGGTCATTAGCATTCTTTTCATGTGGCATAACAGTACTGTCCAACAGTAATGCAGTAATCCCTCATTTGGAGAACCCTTTAAGGCACATACTCCAAAACAACTCACTGGACTTTATTTCTGTGAAAACCATTTCTCATACTCTTCTCACAAAGCAAGTACTTTTAAGGGTATTGCCATTCTGATGAGACCACTCTGGCTCCCCACTTAGCTGAATTGCTCTTTAAACTATTAATTTGGTCAGCAGAGTAATTTAATAATTTTCCATGTACAGACAACAGAAGCTGAAAATCAGTTTGGTGTGCTGGAACTACTAATCATGCCTTTGAAGGTGTACTCTAATATTGTGTGTGTCTAAACAACTTCAGACCTACTTTCCTTCTGCATTTGAAGGAGTATTCCTGAGCTGATAGTCAGCTTTTTTTTTTTTTAACCCCCTTTAATTTCCTTATGTTAAATTTACAAACCTAATTAATACAATTTCTTTCCTGTAGGTTCACTCCATGATGGCTCAATTAGAGTAGCAGTAGAACTGTGGTTCAATATTCAGGCCAGCTTCATAATTGAAAACACATTTTCTTCTCAAAAGCTGCAGCTGGTTTGGTTCTGCTCATGCAGAAAAGGATATAACCTTGCATAACATAGGAAATGAACGGTTGAGAGAGAAGCCAAATTCAATTTCAGTCAGATATTTTGAGGATAAGTCCATGATCTATGGAAGCAAGGGAATGAAAAGTGTGTGTATGTGGAAAGCAGCGTATTCAGCACTCTATTAATCACGGCTAGCCTGGGTGCTGTTGTGTGCTCTTGCGTTAGCACTGATTCTAGTACAGAGGCTGGAGAGCAGCCAAGCA